AGAAAAACACGAAATTAAAATAAAAAATATCTTTCTTTTAAAACAAAACATATAAAATTTCTGCGTTGTAAATAATTTTAATTGCTTAAATATTGCATTATTTACTGTACAAGAACATGTTTTAAATTCGTCAATTTTGTTTGAAAATATTTTAAGTTCTCCTCGACCAATAAGTTTATGACAAATGTCAATCTTTTATTTCTATGTTGAACTGACATTTTTTGTATTTAAAGAAGATTTTCTTAGAAATTGCATCACATTGCCGTTAGTTAAAGAGTAAAAATGACTGTATTAGCACATATATTTGGCACTCTTATGTTGGTTGGTTTAGGATTAGTTCATTATTATAGTGGAACTAATCATGAGTCTAATGCTACCAATCGAAACGTAATACCATCTCCTTCTGATCAGAGACAATTTGCTATTTCAAACCGTAATTCACCGGTAAGTTGCAAATTAATAAAAATAAAAAAATTTGGAAACCGTTTCTTTTTTTAATATAAGTAAAAAATTTCTATTTAAAAGTTTTAAATATTTACGTAATTCTAATGCTACGACAACTTAAAAAATATAGACAATCATATTGATATTATCAAAATAATATTTTGATAATATCAATATGATTGTCTAAATTTTTACATAATATTATTATGTACTATTTATATAATTTGTTATTTATGTTACTATTAATAATTACATTATAATATATTAATTATGCTATTAATTAAATATAATATTAATTAATAATATTATTCAAAACATTGTGTACTCGCAGAATATAGAACAAGGTGGACAAGGAGGTAATGTCAATACACAACAATCAGGAAGAAAAGGAAAAAATTATAATAGTCGTCAGTTTAACTGAAAACTTTATAAAAAACTGAAAAATTTATTAAACAATTTTTAAACTTGAAAATTATTTAAATTAACAAAAAATGTAACTAAAAATTGTATCTCTGTGAGAAGGAAACATCTTATTTTAAGATACTATTATAGTTACTTCTAAGTTGTTTTGAAAAAGTTATCAAAAACATCTTAAAATACATTGAACTTTAAGTTGGAGGTTCGAAAATATGAGATGTTTTAAATATCTTAAAAGTGACTACAATATATTTTAAGATGCTTCTTTTTGCAGTGAAACAATCCGAATAATGTCCCGTTTACAATAAATAAATAATTTAATATCCAGGTGATGGTAATTTTACAATAATAATTAATATTTATTCTTTCATTCTGTACACATCTGAACTTAGTCATAATTGTGTATGCTTCTGTATTTTGTTGCAACACATGTTGATAATTTGTGATATGGTTGTGTTATTTATTTGTATTAATGGTTTCTGATTAAAATATATTTTGAAATGGTTAAAGATAGTTTTATTTATTTCGATTAAATAGCATTTAAATATGATTCAGGGCTCGAACCAGTAAAAGTATTTAAAAATATGAACTTCACGGGCCAACAATAAAAAATTACGGACCAATTACTGACTAAAATATAACCAGTCCGAGTAAAAAAGGAGAACATTTTACTTAAAAATATAAAAAGAATCAATTATTTTTAATAATTTTTTAAGAAGTTCTTTGGAAATTTTCAAATCCACTTTGTATCTAAATTACAACTCAATTTTACAAAATTTCGATTATTCGGAAATTCTTCAGGTAAATATATGTATTAGAAAATAAAAACTTCAAAATAAATCAATTATATTTTTTCAATAAAATTATTCATTAAACAATTTTTAATTAAAAAGTATAAAAAATTAAAATTTTCAAAGATTTTAATTTGAAACCTTTACAAAATTCAATTATCTCTCAAAATTAACGCTATAATGCTTTTAATATTCAATTATTATCTAAAATTTTAACTGAAATTTATTTTTTAATCAATTTTTATTAGAAAATTCTACGAGAATTTAATTATTTAAATAAAAAACTAAATAGCTGAATTCTCTTAAAGAATTCTATCCACAAATTTTTAAATAATTAAATTCCTTTGACAAATTTTAATAAAATTTTTATGAATATTTACATTTCTCGAGGAATTTGATTAACATTGTATTGTTTGAGCCCTGTATGATTAAAAAAATTAACGAATGAAATTAATTACAGGGTACCTATAGCCACAAAATAATATTTTCAAAAGTTCCTGACTAATTTTTCTATTAAACCTGACTAATACCTATTAGAATTATTCACAATTCTACATTGCTGATTACCAATTTTAAATTGATTTTTAAGTAAAAATTTTATTTAAAAAGAAAAACTTAAGATATACCTTAATGCATTTGAGTTTTCGGAAATATGTAATCGAAAATATTGAAAATAATTAAATTTTAAAAAATTAGAATAAACAAATCCTGAGAATTAGTTTATTCAAAAATATTGTAACATTATTTTTATAACCTAACTTTCATTAAAATTTTTGAGAATTTAATGATTTCAAAAATTTTCAATTTAAATTCTTTAAAAGTAATTTTTTTTTTAAATTGTAATAAAATGCGTGAAAAAAATTATTTATATTCAATTAAATTTTAGAAAATTTCAATTCTTCAAAATCTTTTTAATTGTATATTTCAAAAATTTAATTAAAAAAATTATTCAAAAATAACTTTTCAAAGATTTGTCTATAGTTAAATACTTTTCACACTATAAAAATCGAAATAAATTGCATTTTATACTAAAAATGTGGTATTTTGTCGAAAATAGTCGAAAAAGTTATAATATCCGAGGACTGCAAAATGTGCTCCGATACCATGTTGTAAATTTGATCTTCTGCACGTTTTATTCCACGTGCACGAATGTTTATAATATAAAAAAAATGTTCAATACTAAGTAAAGTAGCTTTAACTTTTTTTTATTAGTTCAGCCATGATTTTAAAATTTTTATTTATAATGAATAGACATCACAGCCAAAGGTACAAACGATATGACTATTTTATTTATTTTCAGCTTTGGTTTAACAAAAACAATTATTATTCTTTCTTTTATGGTTGAAGAAATTAAATTAAATTGTAAATTTAAATTTTTGTATAATATATCTTCTAATTAATGAATAAGAAAATTAAATATATAATTTGGCTACTTAAACTATTCAAATTCTTTTGTTTACAATTTAATTTTACGAAATTTCGATTATTCTGACATTCTTTAATTAAATATATTAGAAATTAAAAACTTCAAATAATTAAAGAAAATTCCATTAAACTTATTGAGAAAAATTAATTCTATAGAATTCTTAATTAAAAGTATAAAAATTTCATATTTTCAAAGATTTTAATTTGAAAATTATTTTTAAATCAATATTTATTAGTAAATTCTACGAAAATTAAATTATTTAACTATAAAAATAAATAAATAATAATTGAAGCTATCACTCGGCATATTTATAACAATATAGTTGAAATTATCGATCACTCCGAGTCAGGTTGAAAAAAAATATAACAAATTTTATATTTTTTTTATTTTACGTTTCAACGGCACAGCCGTCCTCATCAGAAACTAAAATTTTATTATAAACAATTATTAAAAGAAATTACATAAACAAAACGAAAAATGTTTTACAAAATAAACAATATTTATTACGTTGAAAGGTAAAATAAAAAAAATATAAAATTTGTTATATTTTTTTTCAACCTGACTCGGAGTGATCGATAATTTCAACTTTATTATTATAAAAATAAATGTTTTATTAAACAATCGAATGTTTCTTAAAATTGAATTTTCATAAAGAATTTTATCAACAAATTTTAAAAGAATTGAATTCTTTTGACAAATTTTAATTAAAATTTTTAGAATAATTGCATTTTTCGAGAAATTTGATGAAAATTGTATTAAAAATAATTGAAATTCTGCCAAGAATTTTATTAAACGTTTTGAAAATAATGCATTTCGGAGAAAGATTTTATGATTTATAAAGATAATTGAAATTTTGACGAGAATTTTCGTAAATTTTTAAACATAATTAGATTTCTGCAAAAAATTTTATTATTATGAAAATTATTTTGAAAAAAACTGAATTGTTACGCAAAGAATTGCATTAAATTTTTTGAAAATAATTTTATTCTTTAAAGAAATTTAATTAAAAGTTTATTGAAATAATACTTAAATTCTAATAAATAAATTGTAACAAAGTTTATTAAAATAATTAAATTTCTTTGATAAATTTTAATAAAACTTTTAACAATAATAACTTTTTTCGAGGAATTCCATTAAAATTGTATTAAAAATAATTGAAATTCAGCAATGAGTTTTCATAAATATTTATGAAAATAATTGAATCCCTGTTAAAAATGTTATTATTTATGAAAATAATTGAATAATATATAAAAATAAATTGTAAATAATTGAATTCCTGTAAAATTTTTATTATTTACGAAAATAATGAAATGTTTGCCTAGAATTTTATTAAAAATTTTTTTAACTAATTGGATTGATTTAAGAATTTTTATTAAAGTAGTAGATTTTAAAAATCATTAAATTGAGGAAAGTTTTTGAAAATAATTGAATTTCTTCAATCATTTGTAATTGCTTCAAAATTCAATTTTTTTTAGTGTTTTTAACTAAAATTCTTCTATAAATCCATTATTTTTAATAATGAATTAAATATATATTAGAAAATTTAACTAATTTCAGAAGAATTTTAGTTTAAAAATTTTTTTTTTAAATCTAAGTTTCTTTATAATTCTAATTAAATTCATTTAAAATTGAAATTTTACTAAATTATAAATCAAAATCTTTTAAAGTTCATCTACTTATAAAAATTGTAAACGCAATTCTTTAAAAATTGAATTAATTTTGAAATATTTAAGTGAAATTAGATTTTAAGAATAAACACAATAACTTTAGAAAACAACAATTTTCCAGGATTTCGATAAAAATTCCCTGACTTTTACAGGTTTTTTCAAGATTTATAATATTCCCTGACATTTCCAGGTTTTCAGGTTGGTAGCAACCCTGATTTTTTATAGAAAGCAAAAAAAAATTGAAAATTTACTTACTGTGCAAAATAGGACGCCACTGTTTGCCTTTTTAAACGTCTTGAATACCTCAGTTCTTTCTTTTTGAGACATACTTCCATGGAGTTTGAAAAATTCAACATCCACAAGTGGATCAGAATCTTCATCATCATCGTCTTCTGGTTTCGATAAAATCAAATTTAAAATTTCTGTATGATAGTCAATCATATCTTGTGTTGCCATAAATACAAGTATTTTATGCTGTCCAGAACTCTAAAAATGTTTTTTTTAATTAAAAATTTAATTTTTTTAATTGGAATTTTAATATAATGAAGAGAATTTAAGTGAAATACTAAAATAGAAATTTATTTTAATAAATAAATTAAAGCAGAAGAAATAAATTTACCAAACATTTCCCCCGGATAAAAGCGCTCAAACTGACAAGTCGCAGTTTTGGAGGAGTGATAATGTAACTTTGAACGACACTTTGGGGAACAATTAGATCTTCATTTATGTCACTTAAATTATCGCCAGATAATTCCAAATTCTCTTTCGCAGCGTCGACAAAAGTGGGATTTTTCATTGTAAGACCAGCGAGTTTTTCCACAGCTTGTGTTAAAGTAGCAGAAAGTAAAATTGTCTGTCTTGTTGATTGATTCAAATCAGAAGGCGAATCATCAACAATTTCTCGATTATCTATTGACATTAAATTTGATTGTTTTTCTTTAATCGTTTTTCTATTTTTTCCCACAAAATAATCCTCATTTTCAGAATCCATTTCTGATCCAGAATTATAAACTCTTTTAACATCAACATTTTCTTCTTCTTTATCATCCATATTCTTTAAATCCACATTTTCCTCTTCTGCTTCTTCCGTATCATCACTAAATTTCTTTATAACATTTTCACGCAACATTTTTAGAGGATCGTATCCCGTCTCTTTTGGATCAGATGAACTCATTTTTAAGGCACTAACGATTCTAAAAATTAAAATTATTAATAAAATAAATTTATAATAAAAAAATAAACACGCTGCAAAGTTTAAGTAAAAAATAAAGGTCAATTTATTCGATTTTGAATTTTTTTTAAATTGAACAAAAAATATAATTAATTAGTTCAATAATAATTTAATTTGAGGTATTATTAAATTACCCGGAAATGTCTTTTTCGTATCCCATATCGAGCATGCGATCAGCTTCGTCCAGGACGAAGTAAGAGACATCGTTTAATTTTAAAGCTTCTGTATGCTTAATGTGATCTAATAATCGTCCAGGTGTTGCGACTAAAATATTACATCCACGTCTTAATCGTGCCTTTTCGGCTTTTCGTTTTTCTCCCCCAACTAAATATCCAGGTACAATCCACATAAAAGGCTGTAATTTATAAGAAATTTAATTTACTTTTTTCATTTGAAAAAAATATTTAACCCACCATCAAAAATCATTAAAAGTCATTAAATTCATATTTTGCCAATCTTTTGAAAATAAATTAAAAATATAAGTGTAATAATTTTAAAATGAATAAAAATTTCAATAAAACAAGTCAGGATGTCTACTATTTTCGTTCAACAAAATTCCCGACTTTGTCCTAATTTTTACCGGTTTTTTTTTCTCATCAAATTAAAAATTTGATTTCGAACATAAATAAATCTATAAATGGCTTAAATTTGTAGATTTGACGTTAATTAATTAAATTAAATTCTTTTGACGAGTTTCTTTAAATTTTTTGAAAATAATGTTCTTTTAATAATTTTAATTAAAATTTTGGAAATTAATTGAATTACTAAACTAAGAATTTATTCAATTTTTTAAAATAATCTTGGCTGTTCATAATAAAAAATGAAAATTTGATTGATTCAATTTTATTAAAATGTATTGATACTAATTGAATTTCTACAAAGAATTTTACTATTTATAAAAGTAATTGAATCCTTCAAAAGAATGTTAGGTATTATTTATAAAAATAATGAAATTTTTGCGTTAGAATTTTATTAAAATTTTAGAAAATAATTAAATTGTGGAGAACAATTTAATTATTTTCATAGATAATTAAAATTTTGAGGAGAATTTAAAAAAAATTTTTAACATAATTGAATTTCTGCAAAGAATTTTATTAATTTTGAAAATAATTTAATTGTTTTTTAGAATTTTATGGAAATTTATGATAATCCTAATTAAGTTCTTTTGATGAATTTCTTTGAATTTTTTTAAAATAATGGAGTTTCTTTAATAATTTTAATTGAAAATTTTCAAAGTAATTGAATTTTATATGAACAATTTCTTTCAAGTTTTTACAATAATCGTGTTTCTTAATAATTGAAATTAAGCAATTTAATTCTTGATTTTTATTAAAATTTTTAGGAAATAATTGAATTCTTTCGAAAAAATTCTTTAATTTATTGAATACAATCGAATTTGTTAATAAGTGTATTGAAAATAATTGAATTCTGAGAAGAATTTGATTATTTATGAAAAATAATTGAATTCTTACGATGAATTTTACTACTTATAAAAATAATTGAATTATTTACGTAGAATTTTATTAAAATTTCAGAAAATAATTGAATTATGGAGAACAATTTAATTATTTATAAAGACAATTGAAATTTTGAGGAGAATTTAATTATTTATAAAAATAATTGAAATTTTGAGAATTTAATTTAAACAAATAATTGAATTACTTTTTAGAATTTTATGGAAATTTATGAAAATAATTCAATTCTTATTAAGAATTTTTTTTATAAATAATATTCAAAAGAATTTAGCAAATCTAAAGAATTTTGCTATTTATGGAAATAATTGAATTCTTGAAAAGAATTCTTTTTACAGTTTCTAGAAATAATTGAATTCTTTCGACGAATTTTAATAAAATATTTAAGAATAATTACATTTTTCGTGGAATTTGATTAAAATTGTATGAAAAATAATTGAAATTCTGCAGTGAGTTTTACTATTTATGAAAATAATTAAATATATTGCGAAGAAATTTTAAAAAATAAAATTATAATTTAACTTCCCTTGACTATTTTCGAAAAATTTAAATTAAATTCTTTAAAAGAATTTAATTATTTTTAATAGAATGTAAAGAGATTTCAATTATTTGTTTATAAAAATTCAATTATCTTGAAACAATAGAATTGGAAATTTTCAAAAATCTTATTTTTCAGAATTTTCAAAAAAATTTTGCGAAAATTTAATTTTAGTTGAAAGATTTTAAGTGTGTATCTTTTTTTAAATTAGCTTAAAAAAATTTTAATTATTTATCTTCGCGCTAAGAAACATGAATACATTAGAATGTGACTCTTTATAAAATTCAATTATTTATCAATTATTAAATTAAAATACATACTATATTTGAATCAGTGACTGATTTTTTACTGTAAAATTAATTATTTTTAACTAATTCAAATTTACAGAACAATATAAATATCTATAAAAAATGAAATAAAAAGCGATTTTTTAAAAACAAATTAAAATAATAAAACTATTTTTAATTTTCGGCTATTTTCCGAATTTCCCGGTTAGTAGATACCCTGCAAGTCAAAATTGATCCTTTTCTATCAAATATTAATTGATTTAAGAGTAAATTTTTAAAAATTTCAAAACGTTTAAAAATTTGTTTACTAGAATAATAATTATATATTTCTTAAAATTGAAAATTTTATTTTTTTTAAATTTCAATTTAAAAAATTTGAAACTGATAAATTTTAGTTTTTCTTAATTTTATAAAAATGTCAACTTACTTTTACTAGTTTTAGAAAACATTCGTAAGTCTGTAAAGCGAGTTCTCTTGTTGGCACAACAACAAGTGCCTTCAATCCACTGTTTCTTGTAATTTTCGGTGTAATTTTTTGCAATAATTCAATAATAGGCAAAGAATAGGTTAGCGTTTTTCCAGAACCTGTTTGTGATCTGATTAAAACATCTTTACCGGAAAGAATCACGGGAATTCCTTTTTGTTGCACAGTGGTCATTTTAGTTATTTGCATATTTTGCTCTAAATTGGAAACCTAATATAAAAAATCATTAATATTCATAGCAAGTAATAAAATTAAAACTGTTAAAAATCCAATAGTATAATACACATTCTCTGTTCAAGAATATTTTTTCTTGACTCTTCAAATTAAATCATAAATACAATCCTTTCTTTATGAGAAAGCAATCTAAATGTCTACCACAGAAGTTATTTTTAAGTTAAGCAACTAATATTATTCATTATTATTAAAAATAATTAACACTATTAAAATTATAACTATTTATTATTAAGAATTCACCAATAATTTTAATTTAAAAAAAACAGTTAATAATAATCAATAAAAGATTATATTATTATCTGACAAAATGTACTTTTTTAGATCCATGAATCATTTTGATCATTTTCAATACATTTTTTAACGCACATTGAGAATTTATTGCTTTTACGCAAAACTGTTCATGTATAAATAAATAAATTAAATAAAAAGAAGTGAAAAATTTAATTATAATTTTGTTGTCCTAAACATTGTAGTAAATGAATTTGAAAGAAAAGTGGGGTTGTCACAAAAATTTTTTATTTATTTTTCCCTGATTTTCACATTTTCCCTGACCCTAAAGAATATTCTGATTCACTCTAAAAATAATTAGATACTCAAAAAACGTTATATTACATTTATTTACGATTTTTTTTCATTGCAAAATTATTCCAAAACTTTTAAAAACTTTTTTAAACTTTAACTTTAACTTTAACTTTTTTTTTTTTTTTTATTACCAAAGCTTAACTTTATTTTTAAATAAATATTTTATTATTACTTATTATTTTTCTACCTATAGAAATTAAGATTTAAAAAAATTTCAAATTCAAATCTTTTTGAAATTCAACAACAATTATAAGAATATTATTATAAAACATGAAAAAATCGATTACTCCGAGTCTTCGACTCGGAATTATGGATATCTTTATGTTTTATAATCATTAAAGAAGTCCATATGATAAAATGATTATTTTATATTATAAAAATATCTTTTAAAAATAATTGAATTTATGAAAAATATAAAATAAATAATCAAATTTTTGAAGAATTTTAATTAAAAATTTTCCCAATGGTTGTTTTCTCCAAAATGTTAAAAATAAATCGGAAAAATTTTAATGTTCGTATTATTTTTCGTACCTATGTATTTGAATTTTCGGAATTTTATATTATTGAAAATATTGAAAATACCTAATTAAATATTAAAAATTTATAATAAAAAAATTCTAAGAATTACTTTTTTTTAAAAAATTAATTTTAGTTTTTAGAAGCTGGTTTTTATTAATTTCAGGCCTCGAACTGCCTTTGGCATTGAAAATTACGTACTTTACGTACCAAAAAAGGAAAAATTAGTGACCACGTACCAAAATTTGTAATTTTTTATTTAAAGTGCCAACTTTAAATCGCAAAATAGAATGATATAGTTTAAATAATTACATGGATTTCAATCAACATATTTTTATTAGTTTAGAAAATCTTAAAATTGAAATAATATTTTATATGTTCTTATGATAAAATTTTACTTAAGAACTGTAAATTAAGAAGTTTTTGAAATTCTTTAAGGGTTCATACCACTTTGTCAACTTCAAAAAATTAAATTTTTTTACGGATTTTGAAAGTATAGAATATCTTAAAAATGTTGTGTAAAATTTTAGAAAGATCTCAGCACTTTAAATATATTATTTTAGGTGACATTTGAACGCGTACAAAGGCTATACATAGTTACTAGTTGAATCAGTAAATTTTTACATTATAAGTAACTCAATTCACATTTTTTCATGTTGTGTATTCTATTGTTAAATTTTAAATAATTAAACAATATTTTTTTTAATAAAACGACGTTTTCATATAGTTAAAGAGTGCCTTTGTTAAACTATAAAAGACCTAAATCAATAAAATTTACATGGATCGTAAAAAAATTCTACAAAAAAGCTAAATTTTGAGGCATGAATAGTGGTATGAACCCTTTATTAACAAAATATGACTTTTGTTTTCGACCAATCACTGTTTCTGAAAATGATCACCGTCAGCGGATTGATCGGAAAGTGAATGTGAATAAAAATAGAGAAGGCATAACTAAATGTTTATTCACAATCTGTATACATATTTTGATTTTTAGTCGAAATGGTCAAAATTACGTACTTTACGGACCTTTTGTCAAAATTACGTACTTTTAGGTACCAAATTCAAAATTACGTACTTTTCCTTAATTTATGTAGGGTAACTGCACCAATTGCCGAGGGTGCTCCAATTGTCGAGGATAATAATTTTCTTTTTTAGATAAATAGTATAATATATAATATTTAAGAACAAAAAAAATTTCTAAATAATCTTTGTATTTTCAACTGTATATTTATATATACAAATTTCGTAGCAATTCTACTGAAATAATTATTTAATTAATATTATAATTCACTGCTGTGAAATTTACACGAATCTCCATTTTCTTAATACTTCAGGTTGATTAAAACAGATTTTTAGAAATGTAAATTAAACGTATTTATAATGACTTTTTGGGTACAAAATTATTATTATAATTTTGTACACGAACTAAATTAATTTTGTATGCATGTTTTTTTGTTAAAAAAAAATATTTAATATTTTTTAAAAGCAAATCATCAGTATTTGGTTCCTTTTTTTTGACAGTTCCATTTTTCGAGGTAATGACTCGAAAATTGGTGTAGTCACTTTTTTCGCTGATGCACCATTTATCGATGGTTAAGTGTTTATTTACTAAACGTCAAACATAAATGCCAAACATTTATAGGTACAGAGAAAAAGAAAAAAAATGCTCCAAAAATTTACAACCAACAGAAAATAATCAACCAAAAAAACGAGGAAGACCGAAAAAAAATTAATAAAAAAATGCATTATTTAAAACTAAAAAATTTTGTACTATAGTTTAATTATAATTAACCATTATATTTACAGTTCGTAATAAAAGTTTATTTTATTCGTTTACAAATTTAATGTGACTTAAATTAATTTATTTTTTTAATTAATGTCTGATTAACAAAATTGATTAAATTTAATTAACTTATATTTATAAAAGTTTAAAAAACAGTTAAATAATTTTCTGTCCTGTATCATCTACTATAAAAATGTTTTATATCGATATTATAAATTATTCAATTATAGTTAAATAAATATATTTGTTTTCTGGTAATGTTCTATAATATTTTTATCGAAAAAATAAATATCTACTCGATTTTCTAATATCTGTACAGGTTAATTGTTAGGTTATATTGGGTTATATGTTTAAAAATGTCATACCCTCGACAATTGGAACAGACCCTCGAGAAATTAGCACAAGACCATCGACAAATGGTGCTTTTGCTCGATTGACTTTTAAATATATTTTTTGCTTAACAATTTAGTTTATATTAAAAAAATAAATATGAATATTAAACATTATTAGATCCTTCGTCCAAATATACAAAAATCAAATTTTTAAGTGCATTTACTTCCGAGAAAAAAAATGTCAAAGTCACATGTTGCCTAAAACCCTCGACAATTGGTACAGTTACCCTACTCAGTTCGAGGCCTGTAATTTTGATTTTCATAAGTTTACACTTGAAGATTTTTCATTAAATTTTTTTGAGAATTCAATTATTTTCACAAAATATTTATAATTAAATTTATTCAAAGTTGATTTTCAAAAGTTGGAATAATAATACTTGAAAAAAATCAATTATTTTCAATTAAATTTTACAAAATTTCAATTATTCCAAATCATTTTAGTTGTATATTTCGAAAATTTAATTAGAAAAATTATTCAAAACTAATTTTTGAATGATTTTTGTCTATAGTTATTTTTTACACTAGAAAAATCGAAATAATGTGCAATTTATACTAAAAATATGGTATTTTGTTGCAATATTTGGAAGAAAAATCGAAAAAGTCGCAATTTTTTAATACAAGTTGATAAAAGTAGCAATTTTTGGAAAATAGTCGAAAAAAGTCGAAAAAGTCATAATAACCGAGGCCTGAATTATTGTTACTGTAACTTCATCAAAAATATTTTCATCATTTCAATTCAATTATTACTTTCTAGAATTTTTAACTAAAATTCTGCATAAATCAATTATTTTTAATAATTATTCAAAAAGTTGTTTGAGAATTTTCAAATCCATTTGTTTACAATTCAATTTTACGTGAAATTTCGATTCTTTGGAAATTCTTTAATTAACTATACATTAGACAATAAAGAATTCAAATAATTTAAAAAAAAATTAAATTAAACTTTTTTAAAAAAATTGATTGTACAGAATTGTTAATTAAAAGTATGGAAAATTCAAATTTTCAAAACTTTTAAATTGAAATCTTTAAAAAATTCAATTATTTCTAAATTTTAGATGCTTTAAATATTCAATTATTATCTAAAATGCTTGCGAAAAATTTTATTAAAATAGTAGATATTGAACTCAGGGAAATTTTTGGAAATAAAATAATTTTGAAGAAGTATTTTATTATTTACAAAGATAACTGAATTTTTGATGAGAATTTTTTTTAAATTTTTGAACATAATTTAATTTCTGTGAAAAATTTTATTACTTTTGAAAATAATTGAATTTCTGCAATCATTTGTAACTTCTCCAAAATTCAAATTTTTTAGTGTTTTTACTAAAATTCTTCCATAAATCGAATTAGTTTTAATAATAAATTAAACATATATTCAAAAATTGAAATAATTTCAGAAGAATTTAAAATATTAAAATTTTTCAAAAATCTAATTTCTTTTAAATTTTCTCTAAAATGAAATTCATTCAAAATTGAAATTTTATAAAATTTCAAAACCTTTTGAAGTTCATCTATTTATAAAAATTGTAAAACGCAACTCATCTTTTAAAATTTAATTAATTTTGAAATATTTAAGTAACATTATTCATTAAATAATTTCTAAGTAATAATTTTATGATGATAGTTCTTCAAGAATTTAGTTACTTAAACAGAAATTATTGTCAGAAATAGAAAAAATTTAAAGTTTTTTAAAATTCTTGGTAATTTTATAAAAGGCAAAGAAAAAGTCACCAAAATTCAGAATTTTCTTAAGAATTCTAAAAAATTAATTTTTTCCAATACTTTTAATAAAAATCCCTTACTTCCCTTGACCTGTGGCAACCCTGTAAAATTATAACAAAAATTGACTGCTTAAATTATTTAGAAACTGAAATTTTGTGAAATAAAAAATTATAAAATAAACAGATTATGTAGAACGTTAATTTTCAATTTATTTAAGACGTTTAATATTCTTATAAAAAAATAATCAAGAAAAAATATTCTCATTGTGATTCTAGAATATAAAGGAAATTAAACGTAGATATCACTGTAATTAAAGTTAAAAAATTAAAAGTTAAAATTAAAAATTAAAATTAAAACTTTAATAACTAAAAGCAAATAAAAAATAAAGATTTTACAAAAGTAAAAATTAAAATAAGGAAAAATACAAACCGAATATGGATGAATGTCGAGATCACTAAAATTGATACCAGAAAATACATTTTCTTGAACTGGCTTTACATATCTTTGTCCAATATTTGGTACTTCTGGATTATTACCAAAAAGAGAAGAAATTTTACCACTTGGTTTGTGCATTATACGTTCGTCTTTTCCCTTGAATTTTTTATTCTGTCTGTCATTTTGTTGTTTATTTCTCTTAAAGTCAAACTTTAATTGTTTCTGTTCGTGAAAATTCTTTTTATTTTTGAAACATTCGTTTTCATTGAAATTTGAAGCGGAAATTTGCAAATCGTCATTATTATTTTTTGATAAATTACCAAATTTGAATATCGAACTATTATCAGAATCTACTTTTTCTGAATTCGTTGAAAAAACATCACTGAGAGATTTCTTCTCACTATTTAAATTGACATTTTTTTTTCTTATCACTGTGGCTTTAATTTCATTTTCATTTTTATTTTTAACAAATTGTACGATATTTTGTGAATCTAATTTTTCTTTCCTGACATTTGATTGAGAAGTAATTTTCTCATTGTTTTTTATTGAATTAACATCAATGGAATTTTTTTTATCAATCAAAAAATTAACTTTCTTTTTATTTAAATTATGTCCTACTTGTTTTGCAACAATTGCAGCAAGTGATTTTTGTTTAATTCTTGTTTTTGGTTTATTTATCAAACCATCTGAATGCTGTAATGAACGATTTGTTTTTGACAATTTTTCTCTTTTTGAATTTTTTGCATTTACTTGAGAAGAAGTATTTTTCTTTTTTTTATTATCCTAGAGCGAAAATAGCAAGAATTTAATGGCAAATATTATAATTTGTCAAAAATTGGAATAAAATTTGAGGTTACTTACATTTGTATTGTTCACCACGTTTGTAGTGATATTTAAACAAATATCCATTTCCGGAACAGTCATTTGTAACAATTTTACAAATATTCACTTGAAACAAAAAATAAATAATTGAATATTAACAATAAAACACTGTCACAACATTCACTTTCGATATATAAACATAACCTTTCAATGTTAAACGAACGAGAATTGCAACACGTGTGAAGTTCCCTGGGAAATCAATGCACAGAGGAAGTCGATTCTGCGCATGCGTTACTTTCTTGTGTTGTTGGTTCGAAAATTTAAATTCAAATATTAAATCTTTTCTTTATTTTTGATTTAAATTTAGTTCAAATATGTAAAAAATAATATTAAAAATTAAGATATTATTATTAATATTCAAATAAAGGGTTAATACAAAAAAATAGTATCTAAAAAGCATGCAAAGAAGTAAAGGAAATAATAATTATAATAATATTATTAATATTATTAATATAATAATAATAATAATAATAATAATAATAATAATAATAATAAAAATAATAATAAATTAAATTAAATAAATTAAGAAAATTGAAAAAAAAAAATTTTCCGAATATACGATTTTAAATTCTTATTTCATACATTCGCGATATATGAATATAGTCGAAGAAATGATAATACTTTAACAATAAAAATAAAGATAATTTAAAAATTTTTTATATATAGACATAATTTTTTACGTAATGTAATGGGTAAAATGAAATAAAAATACATACATGCAATTAATTCTCATAAATAATAAAATTTTTTAGAGCTTGAGCTTGAAAGCAATTCTTCTTGAAATTTAAATTATTTTCAAAATTTTCAGTAAAAATTATTAAAAAAAACTTCATTATTTTTTGCAATAAAATTTTAATTACATTTTCTCGAAAGAATTCAATTATTTGAAAAAATGTTGATAAAATTCTTGAAATGAATTCAATTTACCTACATTCAAATTTTTTAATAAATATTTTACAAGAAATCAATGATTTTTGGTACATCAAAAATTTCATTATTTTTGAAAATAATTAAATTCTTGAATTGAATTTTATTAAAACTTTTTTAAATAATTGAATCCCAGACAAAAAAATTTATTATTTAGCTGCAAATATATCATTTTTGCAAAATTTTAAAAAATAAGTGAATTTTTCAGAAGAATTTTATTAAAATTCTATTTAAAATAATTGAATTGCAGTAAAAATTTCATTATTTTTAAAAATAATTAAATTCTTGAATTGGATTATATTAAAATTTTTTTTAACTAATTGAACTCCTGTGAAAAATGATAGGAATTAATTATTTATATAAAAATAATTGAATTTTTTACAAATTTTGTTATTATTTAAAAATTGACTAAAATTTAAAATTACAATTATTGAAAATAATAATTGAATTAGTCATAAAATTCAATTATTTTCAATTTTTTTTTTAAAATAATTAACAAGAATTCAATTATTTTCACTACATTAATTTTAAAATTGAAAACATTTAAAAAGGAAAATTATTTTAAAAGTTAGGAAACAAAAAAGCCAACAGCAACTAACTTCACACTACGAACAGATTACCGGAATTGACCGGAATATTAATATATATAGATATCCAAATAAAGGGTTAATATAAAATAAATAGCATCTAAAAAGTATGCAAAGAAATAAAGGAAATAAAAATAATAATAACAATATTAGTTTATTAAATTAGAAGAAGTTAACAAATTTCCCGAATCAATCTACACAAATAAATTAAATATCTTAAATAAATCTCGATAAGCTCATGGGCTTCAATGTATCGACAGCACAGCTGCCCTAATACAGAAACCTGCTTGGTATCCCACCATGCTACCGTTTTTTCTGAGTTCTTTGATAATTTTGAAATTAATAATTAATTTCGAAAATATTTTTCAAATTAAGCAGGTTTCTGTATTAGGGCAGCTGTGCTGTCGATACATTGAAGCCCATGAGCTTATCGAGATTTATTTAAGATATTTAATTTATTTGTGTAGATTGATTCGGGAAAATTGTTAACTTCTTCAAATTTAATATTTAATCACCGAATGATAAATTCACTTCCTTCAATTAATATTATTTTATATTATTATAAAATAATATTTATCCATTCATAATATTCAATAAACTAATTAAAATAATAAATAAATAATAAAAAATAATAAAAAATAATAATAAATAATAATAAATAATAATAATAAAAATAATAATAAATTAAATTAACTGTTTATTTAGGTAAATAAAGAAACATTTTTAATTTGTAAAAAGTTTTTATTTAAATAAAAAAATTAATTAATTTAGTTTTGAAAATGGTATACAAAATTTAAAGAAATAGATAAATTTAATTATGTTGTGGACGCCCTAAAAAATTATTTTATTTATACATTTTTTATATATTATTAAAAAAATTAAAAGAAAAAAAAATTTCCAAATATATACGATTTTAAATTCTTATTTCCTACATTCGCGATATATGAATATAGTCGAGAAAATGATAATATTTTGACAATAAAAATAAAAATAAATTAAAAATTTTTTCTATAGACATAATTTTTTACGTAAGTATACGTAATATAGTGGGTAAAATGAAATAAAAATACATGCAATTAATAGGAAAGAGAACAGTTTTACAATTTTGTTATCACAAGTGTTTTTCAATAAAGATTTTACGTAACACGAAAATTTCGATATTCATACTTATAATGTATATATATATATAAAGAAGGGTCACAAAACTACTTGTGACAGCTCTGAATTTATTTACATTTACTGAACGAGTGTTCATTCGTTAATAAGTATAATTAATTAACTCGGTACTATAAACATTGAATTTTATATTTTAATAGCAATAAACGTACCTAAAAGTATATACATATATTTTAATAGCAGTAAACGTACCTAAAAGTATATAAATAATTATTTTCTCAATATATCTCTCTTAAAATATTGACTGATAATTTTATTATGTATCAATTGTGCATTAGTTATTCTCTAGCCACTAAACTTATCGGTTCATTTGGAATTGTAAGTATATTTTTTATCTTTTAGGTGAAAAAATGTTTTAAAAATTTTCATAATGTGGAAAATAAATTTTACATTCTCTTTTAAATAATATTTTTAATATAAAAAAGTCGTATTGAAAATTTTTTCATGTATTAAAATTATAATATGAAGGCTTGCTTTTATTTTAAAAAATTTGCCTAAAAGAACATTTTATGTTCTTATTATCATTATTATTATTATTGGTAGTATAGTATTATCATTTTGTTTCTTCATAGAAAACTTTGTTTTAGTGATCATTTTCAATATTGTCATTTTTTCTTATTAATTTCTATATCTTTTTCGACCTCAGGAACTCAAAAATCGTGTATTCAAAAAATGTCCCAATGTTTATATAGATAATATAATATATATGTAGGTATTTGTGTGTATATATGTAAACATTACATTTTGTCTTATATCTCCGAAACTATAAGAGCTATAATAACATTTTTTTACAAATTTGAAGGATTCTTTTGGGGACAATTCTTAACAAATTGTTATATTTCTGAAGTTTTTTAAAAATTTAAGAAAAAACATTTTACTTTAAAAAAGTGTTAGGTCACCATATAAATATTTTTTTCACTGCAAAAAAATTTTTTTGATTTAAATAACAGATTACTTGTCTAATATCTAAAATATATATATTTAAATCAATTAAATGGTATTTGTTTAAAGTTCAGAAATTATTAGTTTAAGTCGAGGTTTAAATGCAATTTATTTTATTGAATTAAAAATTATTTGATTTAATAGGTAAATATTTATTTGATAATAGACAAAAGTAATCGGTTATTTGAATCAAATATGTTAGTGCATTTTGTAGAATTTTTTGCAAAGAATATTATTAATCTTGAAAATAATTGAATTTCTGCAATAATTTGTATAACTTTTTCAAAATTAAATTTTTTTTCGTGTTTTTAGCTAAATTTCTTCTATAAATGCATTATTTTTATTTAGTATATAAACTATTATTTTTAATTATTATTAATAAATTATATTTAATAATTTTTGAAAAAGTTTTTTGAGTATTTTTAAATTTATTTGTTTACAAATCAATTTTACAAAATTTCAATTATTTCGGAATTCTTCAATTAAATATATATTAAAAAATAAAAACTTCAAATAATTTCTATAAAAAAACCGCAATTAAACTTTTTCAAAAAAATTAATTCCACAGAATTGTTAGTTAAAAATATGAAAAATTAAAATTTTCAAAGATTTTAATTAAAACCTTTTCAAAATTCAATTATTACTAAAAATTCACGCTCCAAAGCTTTTGATATTCAATTATAATAATCTAAAATTTTAACTGAAATCCATTTTAATCAATTTTTATTAGAAAATTCTACTAGAATTAAATCATATAAATACCTACAGAAAAACAATTTATTGAATAATTGCATGTTTCTTAGAATTGAATTCTCATAAAGAATTTTATGAATAAATTTTTAAATAGTTGAATTCTTTTGACGAATTTTAATAAAATTTGTGATTAATTACATTTTTTTGAGGAATTCGATTAAAATTGTATTAAAAATAATTGAAATGATTATTTATGAAAATAATTGAATTCCGAAAAAGAATTTTATTATTTAAGAAAATAATTGAACCCCTGTAAAAATTTTATTATTTATCAAAATAACCCTGGTTAAAAACCGGACAGATTTCGGACTAATCCGAAATTTGTCCGAAACAGTGCGGTTTATGGTCAGGTTTTTGGCACCCGAAATTAATCCGAATAAATCCGAACTCTATATACGGTTTGTGAACAACTAGTAAATCCGGAGTTGGTCCGATGAAGTCCGACATTAATCAGTTAATTTTAACTAGTGAATCTGGAATTAGTCCGAAACAGTCAAAAATTAGACCGGACAATTTAGTGAATGTTAATAAAAAAATTATTATTACACATATTAATTATCATTACTTTATGGTACATTCAACATATTTTTCGATTTACCTATCGCAATTTTATTTACATTAACTTAAAATTTCTAACGTTTGGGGATTCGAACCTACACCTATCTAACATTATATCGCACCGAAATCGAATACACTAACCACTATACCACGCTCGCATGGGATTTCAAATTAATAATAGAATTTATCAAGTGCCACGTTAACCCGTTGACTGTCGCTGACGCATATATTATGCGCAAAACAAAACTGGCCAAAAGTGGTTCATGACGCATATATGCGCATCTTAAAAAAGGTGATTAAAAACTTCTTAAATGTTCCTGAAACCGGTTACTCGGGGGTTTTCGAGGTCGCTGATTACGAATATGACATTCGTTTTCCAAAATTCAAAATGGCGGATCCAAGATGGCGGACAACAAAATAAAAAATTGATCAGATTGACTTGAAACGTAGTACTCGGGGGTTTTTGGGGTCGCTGATTACAAATCTGCTGTTACTTTTTCGAAATTCAAAATGGCGGATCCAAGATGGCAGAAATTTTTTCAAAATTCGTCGAATTTCCTTGAAACTTGTTACTCGGGGGTTTTAAGGGTCGCTGATTACAAATCTAACATTAGTTTTCCAATATTCAAAATGTCAAATCCAATATGGCGGACAACGAAATAAAAAATTGATCAGATTGGCTTGAAACTAAATACTCGGGGGTTTTTAGGGTCGCTGATTACGAATCTATCATTATTTTTTCAGGGTATTTATCGAAATTTGATTTCACCAAAAATTACCATACTGATGTCAGATTAACCAGTTTTAAACAAATTCAATAAATTTAAAAAAATTTTTCGCCATATTGAACCAGATATTTTGAATTTTGAAAACTGATTTCAGATTCGTAATCAGCGCCCCTGATAATCCTCAAGTATTCAGTTTCAAGCCAATCTGATCAATTTCTTATTTTATTGTCCGCCATATTGGATCCGCCATTTTGAATTTTGGAAAACTAATGTTAGATTCGTAATGAGCGACCCTTAAAACCCCCGAGTAACAAGTTTCAATCAAATTCGACAAATTTTGAAAAATTTCCGCCATCTTGGATCCGCCATTTTGAATTTCGAAAAATTGATGTCAGATTCGTAATCAGCGACCCCAGAAACCTTAAGGTGCCAAGTTTCATAAAAATCCATTAAAAATTTTTTCAACACACTTTTGGCCCAAACAGTAGAAATCTCGTTGACAGCCAAGCGGTTAAGAAATGACAAAAAACTAACGCATCAGTGTTAATTATAATATTAATAAAGATAACTAATAATACTAGTGTAAAATAAAATTGACTGCAAAAGTAAATATTTTATTTACCATAAGTAAATACCCTGAATAAAAAAGTCGGATCGATTTCGGACTAATCCGGAATTTGTCCTCAACAGTACGATTTATTGTGGAGTTTTTCACCCTGAATTAAGTTTAAAATCAATACCGTTTTTTATAACTATTGAATCCGTAATTAGTCCTATTTAGTCCGAAGTTAGTCAGATTATATGCAACTATAGTAAATGCAGAAGTAATCCGATTGGTTTAACCAGTGAATCCGCAGCTAATCCGAAACAGTCTGCTTATGGTCAGGTTTTCGTCACTCAGAAGTCAGAATTAGTTCGGATAAATCCAAACTCAATAGGTTTGTGTATAGCCAGTGAATCCGGAATTAGTACGATCTAGTCTGAAGTTAGTCTGGTAATACGCAACTTGCAAATAGTCCGATTAAGTCCGGAATTAATCTGCACCGAAAAAAATCTCGATGGTATTATTAACTATGACCCTATAGTTAATCTTAATCTAGTAAAAGTAATAAGGATTCCTAATTATTATGGTTAGGATCGCTAGGTTGATTCAACAAATTCAAGCCTGGCAAAAACAACCCTGCAAATCCTAGTCAAATTGACTAGGATTTTAGTAATTTTGCCTATTTCCATAATGCGCACGCGTCTGCTTCTGTTCTGACAGTGTTTACCTCTATATCTTTCGCGTCATTTATCGTGATTTCGTAAAACGATTTTTTATCATTACTCGCGTCTATTCTTTGTACATAAAATGGAGTTCTTACATACATAAAAATTGCTGGTTTCTCAGAACCTCTGGAAATATAGATAGTCCATGTTTTAGACTATTATAATTAAATAAATTATATTAGTCAATTCTTTCAGACTTTTTTGGTTAGGTTTCAATATAAATCGTCGAAATTTTTACGCACGTGGTGACAACATTTTTACTATTTTAATCGCGCAGTGTGTTTAAAAATTTACCTTTGCAATAATTTGTGTATTTAAATTTATTTTCATTTGAATGTCATAAATAATTAAAAATAAATAGTTTTTGACAAGTGTATAAAATTGTGTACTCGAAATGTATAAAACATCATCTGATTAAGTATTGTATTTTGACTCGAAAATCTAGTGTCTATTAAAAAATTAAAATACCAAGTCGTGTTTAGTGTAGTGGTTATCGTTCCGGGTTTCAAAGTGCGTATTCGTTAGGTTCATAAGTTTAAATTAATTCCAAGGTATATAAATGCAAAGTAAAATATAAATATGTTTAATAAAATAATTAATTATTTTTTTTAATTATATTTACTTTTTCTCTTTTATTGGATAACTAGCTCCTCCGACGGCCGCAAGCGGCCGTCTACGGTGCTAGTTTTTATATGTCCATTGTCCAAGTCCATTATTTCATTAATAATAATATTCAAATTTTTTCAGTTAATAATTTGCTTATTTATATTTGAAATGTTGACGTATTTTTTGACAATGCAAAATAAGATTTATTATAAGTACTTTCTCTTAACAAAAATAAAATTGATATATTCGCGCTCTTTTTAAATAACATACGACTGCAGCGCCACCTTCACATGTACAAACAATTTTAAAAACACCCTTCTATTAAGATTTTACATTCTCATTGCCCATTCTTTACTTCGATACTTTTCGATACATTCGACCTTTCCACTCCATGTCTTTTTTAAGAAAGGATAAGAATTTGATTAAGAATTTCAAATAATTATGATACACAGTGTAAATCTAATATTATTATCCTAGTCAATTTGACTATTTTTTCCTGATTGCATCTACTAATTTTCCTGGTCACTTTAACTATGCTTGAATTTTATTACTTTGACTAGGATTCTATAGTTGGCTCTCTCGTAACTAGGAAACCTAGTCAATTCCTGGTATAAAAATTTTTTATATAATTTCTCGTTTTCACGTAAATTGAAAAAACGTGATTTTTTGAGTTAAGAAATTTTAATGAATTTTTGACTTCAACTCGTGACTACTTCGTTAAATACACAGGAAAAAAAAAGTCTGACTCCGTTTACACCTTAAATTCAGCCCATGTATTTCACATAAGTCTGTCCTTGTTTAACGGGGCTGACTCCGTTTACACCTTAAATTCAGCCTCAAAAATAGGCTGAAAGTAAAACTTTTTTTTTAGTGTGTATTAATATTTTTCCACGAAATTTACACACAATATTCTTCAAACTATTCCAAGAGTGAAACAATATTTGGAAATTTAAAAAAAAATTGTATGTCAAGGTAAATAATTATTTAAATAATTTTCTCGGAAAAATGATACTCCTATGTATTTTCAATTGAAAAAGTTGAGTGACGAATTCTCGTTTTCGGAAAACTTTCAGCGACAAAAATGTTAATTAATATGTTAGGAAGTTTTTTGGAAAATATCTCACCATTTGATAATAAATTAAAGACAATAGAGCAATTTTAACATCGTCGCGCTCTGCTGTAAATGTAAACAATGTCTAACTACATATATACATTGGTCTTGTAATGGCGGCCATGCTACACGTGTGCCGCCACGCCGCAATTTTACAGCAGAGCGCGACGATGTTAAAATTGCTCTATTGTCTTTAATTTATTATCAAATGGCGAGATATTTTCCAAAAAACTTCCTTACATATTAATGAACATTTTTGTCGCTGAAAGTTTTCCGAAAACGAGAATTCGTCACTCAACTTTTTCAATTGAAAATAGGAGAATCATTTTTCCAACAAAATTATTTAAATAATTATTTACTTTGACATACAATTTTTTTTTAAATTTCCAAATATTGTTTCACTCTTGGAATAGTTTGAAGAATATTGTGTGTAAATTTCGTGGAAAAATATTAATATTTAACGAAGTAATCACGAGTTGAAGTCAAAAATTCATTAAAATTTCTTAACTTAAAAAATCACGTTTTTTTCAATTTACGTGAAAACGAGAAATTATATAAAAAATTTTTATTAGGAAAAAAGTTTCGCCTTGAAATTCTGTACAAGAAACAATAATTTAAAATTCATTTTGAACAACTTCAAAATTTTATCTCCAGGGGCCAAATTATTTGCCGTGTGTTCGCGCCCCAGTAAAAAAAAACTAATTCAAATGAATTGAAACGAATTAACATTTTTGGTAGGCTCCAATTCGTATTTGTCACAAAGCGGGATTCACTCAAGCTCTTTGTATATTCAATTGAATTTAATTCAATATGTACCAATTTGTCCAAACGAATTCGCATTCGAAAGAAATGGCCAAGGAATGCATTGAATTCGTGCTAACGAATTGAAAAAAATTAAAGGCTCAAAACTTGTCCAGTGAATTGGTACGGATAGAAGGTTCGGAAGTTCAATACAGTTTCACGAATTCAGGAAAATTGCATCATGGCTCCAATTCGTATTTGTCACAAAGCGGGATTCACGAAAGCTCTTTGTGAATTCTTTTTAATTCATTTCAATTAGTTTTCGTTTACTGGGGCGTGTGCCCTTTTAAGATCCGGAGCCTCAATTACGGACTCAATTCGTAGACATTTAGGATTACATCGGAGTGTTTTCGGATTCAGGTTTTCGTTCGGATTAATATCAGACTAACGCGGATCATTTTCGGACCTTTTTCGTACAATTTTCGGACTAATCCGTAATATTCTGTCCGTATTTAATCCGGAATTAGTCCGAAATTTTTACCAGGGAATTGAATGATTGCAAAGAAATTTATAAAAAATTTGTAAATAATTGAATTCCTGTGAAGTTTTTATTATTTTATGAAAATAATTAAAGGTTTGCTTAGAATTTTATTGAATTTTTTTTAAATAATTGAATTCTTTTGGAAAATTTTATTAAAAAACATTAAATTGAGGGAAATTTTTGAAAATAATTGAATTTTGGAGATGAATTTAATTATTTCTAAAGATAATTGAAATTTTGACGAAAATATAAAAAAAATTTTGAACATAATTGAATTTCTGCGAAGAATTTTATTACTTTTGAAAATAATTGAATTTCTGCAATCATTTGTAATTTCTCTAAAATTCTCCAAATTATATCGTACAAATTTATGAATTTTTTGTCTTTTTTCAATCAAATTACGAACTTCACGGAGCTTTCTTAAAAAAAACTAAAACTAAAAAAAACTTCAAGCAAATTAACGGAGTTTTACGGGATTTACGGACCTAGTTCAAGCCCTGCAAATACAATAACTAGATATTATTTTTTTTAATTTAATTAAAAATATTTTGCTTTATTTATTTTTAAAATAGTTTTCTTAATAATTTTTATATTTAGTTTATGAAATTAAATTTTTATAATTATATCTGCTTATAAATAAAATAACGTCTAATTTATTTTAACATTTAGTATTATAATTATATTAAAATTTAACACTTTTGGCGTTATTATGAATTCTTTATATAATTTAATTAATAATAACTATTATAATGATTATTTTTATTAAATTTTTAAATAACTTTAATAAAAATATTACAGAAAGGCTATAATATATTGATATTCATGTTTCCAGTATATAATTAAAATAGAAACCCATATAGGTTCCCATATGAATTATTATATATTTAAGTGGGAACCTACATATATGTGTGTTCCTATACAGACTCTCATATGGGTTCCCATGTATAATTCCAAAAAAATAAAAATGGGAACCCATATTGGTTTCCACATTCCTTAACATCAGATACGATCCTTCGTAGTGATTTCTAGGATCCCATATTGGAAATTTATTGGGTTCCTATATAAATTAGTAATTTTCAGTAGGATTCTTTATCTGAATTATATTAATTTTACAAAGCGATTTTGGAGGGACTCACCTGATTCTTTAGCAACGATTTTTTTAATTGTTTTTTTTCATTTATTATTTCATTTTTAATTTTAAAAAAAGTGCTAGAATTTATAATTTTTCAATTTAAAATTTGTCCCTTAAAATAAAATTGGTTTTGCTTTTCCCTTTTGGCTTTACGTTACAGACAGTTTCAATATTGATGATAAATATATTAGTGACTGACTTTCTCTCGGCAGAAGAGCCCGACAAGTTTTCAATTACTGTTGAATCTTGGACACTTTTCGGTTTAAATTGGACTTATTTCGTGAAAAATGTACATAAAAGTTATCAAGGTAACAAGCGAGCATTTTAATTTTATTTATATCAAATCCAAGAATATAATATATTTAAGTAAATTTGATAAATTAATTTTCAGCCAAAATACTCTTATTTTGTGTTCTTTTTTACGCTGGATGCTCTTTCGTAGCAAATACAATGTTATGTTTAGCTTCTATATCGGTGAGTAAATCAATTCAAAGTGATTAACATAAATTAATGAAATATTTATAAAATTTATTATTAAATAAAAATAAAATAGAAATACATAGGAATTATATTTATTTTAATAATAATAAATAAAATAAATAAAAAAGTAGATTAATATTGTTTTTATTTGTAAATAAATAAATGTATAAATATATTTAATACAAATATTAGGTATTAATTTATTTACAAACAATATCTTAATTATGGATTACAAAATGTTAAATGTTAATCTTCCAAAAATATAAATAAAAATAAACTACATTTTTAATTAGAAAATATAAGAAATTAGTAAATTTTATGGAATGATTGTGTTTTTATATCTATTATATTAAATTTTTTGTACTATTTATTTCGATAAGATTGTTTAATTATGACATCGTTTGATAACAAAATGTTTGAAAATAGATTAAAATAAAATCAGTGAAACGAATGTAATTTTTATGACAATGCAACAAAGAATGTAGCACGCACTTTTTGATATTTCAATAATCATGTATTATTGTTACAGAAAAGACCAAATTACCTTGTACTTTGGATTTACATACAAATCATTAGCATAATTGACCAAAGTTTTGCTATTGTTATGAATTTACTTAATTCGGATTTAAAATTTTTCAAAAAATCTGATTGGAGCATGCCTTTATCTAGTTCTTACTTGTGTAAGTATAAATTAAAGAGTCAAGAAAAAACTAATTTTTTTAATTAAATTTTTTTTTTACTACATTAGAGGAAGAAATTTATACTTCTGTCGATATATATTACAATTCCAATCAAGAAATACTTCAAGTAATGGAAATTAATAGTATATTAAGCAACAAGAGGAGAAAGGCAGCCATTTCGTTACGGTGATTTTTGTGACACGAGTGGAGGTCGAGGGCGCCGTAGGCGCCCCGAGACCGGAACAAGTGTCACAAAAATCATCGTAAAGAAATTGGCTGCCTTTATTCTCGTGTTACTTACGATATTTTTTATTCCTAATGCACAAAAGCGGCGATTTCAGATAGCAGACGACAGGGAGTAAAAGTCATTCACTTGTTCGATTTGTATGAAAATGGCGGCCGATTTCTCCCTTGGGCAAGAAAAATGCATGTGAACAGCTAATTTTCTTGCCCTTGGGAGAACACGGCCGCCATTTTCATACGGTCGAAGAAATGAATGACTTTCCTCCCTGTCGGCTGCTATCAGAAAGCGCCGTTTTTGTGCATGTGGGATAAAAAATTCATTAGAATTCGAATTAAATAAATTTTAAATTGACCAAACATTTTGATAAATTGATGCTTAGATCAATTAAATTATTTATAAAAACAAAAAGTGAATATCTCAAATTCTCTTAAATTAATTTAAGCCCAGAAAAGTTGAAAAAAATTCTTCTCATAATCTAATGAATTTTTCTTATCATTCTGGAACATTTTTTATATTTTTTTACATTGTGAATTCAAAAATTTTTGAAATATTAAAAAAAGAGTTTAAAAAATTAATCAAATCAAGAAAAAAAATATAAATAACAAATTTTAAAAATAGGTGACAAACCTGTAAATAGATAAAAAAAAAGTCAATAAGATGTAAACACTATGTTATTATATTACTAATTTAAAATATTTGTAAATTTTACTTTTTCCAGTGTTGAGCGCTTATTTTTTAATAATCGTCAGGTCGGCTAGAAAACATTGGCTCGATTATTCACAACAAACAATTCACGTTTCAACGATAACAAGATCTCAGGAAGTACAACATGGTTTTAATTTACCAAAGTCACCATCATATTTAGCTGAACAAAACTACATGAATTTGCCAAAGCAAATGATACCAGCAAAATACGAAGATATATAACCAAAAAAAACATTTAAAAGACTATATAGAATGTATACTTTTTGTAGACTCATAAATTAAGACGAAAAAAAATTTTATAACTGACTGTATAATATACAACTAATTTATTGTTTGTAGACAAATTGTTATTGAGAGGATAAACAAATTTATATATTTTATAATTAAAGTTTACAAGAAATATTTGATAAAATTTGTAGTAATGATATTTAATATCCACACAATATATTTCCGAAAATTATCTTATAAAATGTCAGTCTTTAACTTTGAATTTGAATTAAAAGTCGAGATATACAGAGTTTTGACAACTATCAAAATTTACTAAAAAGACAATAAAAAATTTTCGTTTAACTTAAATTAGTTTATTATTGCAAACAAAAGTAAAATTTGATTGATAAGAAAAAGTAGCTCGTTCACTAACGCCAAATAAATACTTAAATTTTATAACCGAAATCAGTAATTTTCCTTATTTCTATATATATACAAAGAAGATATAATGATAAAAATAACACGAATAAAGATTAAAATAATCCATTTTTGGATTAATTTTTTCTATGACAATTTGTCTCTAAACCAAAACCAGAACATTTGTAACTATAAACGGTGCAAGCATATGTGGACGTCCGCATGAAAAGGGACCACTTTGTCGGTTCTAGATTCCGAGATATTCGCAATTTACTAATTTTGAAGAAAAATATCGAAATTGTTTTTATCTTTTTTTCTTAATCTACAGGGTCTACCACGTCGATTCATGCAGTTTTTATTAATTTATTGACACTCTAAGTATTTTATTTCGTTGTTAGAAAAAAAAATGAAAAAGGACCACTTTGTCGGAAATCTGTTATTTTTTCATTGTTTCAAAACGAAGGGAGGGAAAAATTCGAAACCTATTGATTTTCAATCTTAAGGGTGTACTAGACTTAAAACAATTCTTATCTGAATAACTTCCCAGAAGAGCCGGAGAAATTCGCATTACAATTTTTAATTTCGTGTTTTTAGAAATTAAATTTTTAATTTTTTCTAAGATTTTTTATAATAAAGTCGCTTAAAAAATTTTTTTTAGGTTACTTTTCTTTTTTTTGCTTGAAATAACTCTAAAAAATAACACCGAACCTTTAAATTCGTTAAATATTCCACTTTATTAATTAATAACCGTATTTTTAGAAAAGGGACCACTTTGTCGGAGATATTCATTATTTTGTCATTGTTAAAAAATGAGGGGGGGGGGGAATTCGAAACCTATTGATTTTCAATCTTAAGGGTGTACTAGACTTAAAACAACTCTTATCTGAATAACTTCCCAGAAGAGCCGGAGAAATTCGCGTTACAATTTTTAATTTCGTGTTTTTGGAAAAGGAATTTTTAATTTTTTCTAAGATTTTTTATAATAAAGTCGCTTAAAAAATTTTTTTAGGCTACTTTTCTTTTCTTTGCTTGAAATAACTTTAAAAAATAACACCGAACCTTTAAATTCGTTAAATATTCCACTTTATTAATTAATAACCGTATTTTTAGAAAAGGGACCACTTTGTCGGAGATCCATTATTTTGTCATTGTTAAAAAATGAGGGGGGGGGGGAATTCGAAACCTATTGATTTTCAATCTTAAGGGTGTACTAGACTTAAAACAACCCCGAATAAAATTTAAAGTCGTTTCTATATAGGGCCTATGTCAGCCAGCCTACCTGGCGACATAGGCCTGCGACTCAAATCCTACATTCTGCCTACGTAAGAATGTAACGCTGTTCGACATCTATTCTACATAGGCTCGATTTTGTAGAATCTACATAGGATTCATACTGTAGATTATACATAGGCCAAACGATGTATTACCTACACTGTTAAAAATTTTTGTTCCAAATTTTATACAAAAAACTTTTGGACTTTTGGAAAACGATTTAAATATTAAAATAAAAAATCTAAACTGTTTATATTGTGTTTTGATATGTTACAATAAATGTAAATTAATTAAAAAAAAAGTTTCATTAGCATTTTTACGGAAATGCGACACTACGATTTGAACCCTTAGTCGTATATAATGTTGTCTGTGTATAGTGTGTCTTGTATGGAGCCATCAACCTTGGGAGCTGCGCCTAGACGCGCTCGACCAAGGGAGGCTATGAAAATCTCTTGCAAAGTATCAGTAGTGAGAAACATGTGGACCATTCCCTTTTTTTTACTTCTTCTATATTTCTAAAGATTCAATATCTTTAAAATTCTTCACCAACCGATTCATAGTATTCTTTAATTTTTTTCTCTTTACGTTTCTGTTAAATTTATGATATGTATTAAGATGTTTAAGAAATTTTTAAACAATACTTTATACACAGAAGATTTTTTATGGAAAAATATTTTTCTATTTAATTCAGCAGTTTTTAAATTTTAATCTGTACAAAATAACTAACTATATTAATTAATTATATTATATCATCCAAAATGTTTTATTCTCTTAACAAGTTTTGTCAAATTTAACTAATTAAACTGATTAAAAAAATTTTAGTTATTTCAACATTTGAAAATGTATTTACTTATAAATAATGTTTTAAACTAATTTAGAGAATTATTAAACACATATGTTTGAAGCAATTTTGTATAAAAACTCAAAAAAATTTCAATTAAGTACTTTTCAATGAAAAAGTTGTAAATTTACCTACAATATTTTAAAACATATATGTGTATTGAATTATTTTACACATAAATTTTTCAAACACTTTTTTATGAAAAGGTTGTAAATTTACATATTTTTCAAACTTATGTATTTGAAGTTAATCCATACAAAAATTTTTGAAAATTTCAAACACTTTTGTTTGAAAATATTGTAAATTTACAAATCTTTCAAACATATGTATTTGAAGTTAATCGATACAAAAATTTTTGAAAATTTCAAACACTTTTGTTTGAAAATATTGTAAATTTACAAACCTTTCAAACATATGTATTTGAAGTTAATCCATACAAAAATTTTTGAAAATTTCAAACACTTTTGTTTGAAAATATTGTAAATTTACAAATCTTTCAAACACGCGTTTTTGAAATTATTTCATATACAATATTTGTAAATTTTCAATCACTTTTTGTATGAAAGTATTGTAAATTTACAATCTTTTTTAACAGTGTACATAAGAATGTAACGCTCATCTACATCTGTTCTATGTATGGTAAAAGATGTTGGTCCTACGTAGAAGGTGTACATACTCACTACGTCGTTCAGTCTATGTAGAATCTACATAGAATTCGTACGTTATATTTATACATGGGTTAAATGATGTATGATCTACATTACGGTTATACATAATTCCTATGCAGACTTGATATTATAGTTTCTATATAGGAACTTTAAGTCCACTCTATGTAGACCAATTGTAATAGGAACTATGTATAAACAAGTCTACATAGGCTGGTCTATTAAAAGTCCATGTACAGTCTACGTTAGGCGGCCTATATCACTTTGATATAAGAATGTCAATGTAGATTCTACATAGATTTTCCATAAGCAGGCCTACATGGGCTGGTCTTTTAAAATTCTATGTAGATTCTACATTGGATGACCTATGTCCTTTGTATATATAGGATAGTTTATGTAGATGGTATATAGGTATTATATAAGCAGACCTACATAGGCTGGCCTATTTGAGATCTACATACATCCTACATCTAAAACGCTTATGTAGGAAAGGCCTACATAGTATGTACCTCGTATGTATATTAAATGGTCTACATAGGAGGACGACTTTAAACCTATCTAAATTGTATGTAGGCTATACATAGCCCACGCTACTTTTTTACTCGGGCTCTTATCTGAATAACTTCCCAGAAGAGCCGGAGAAATTCGCGTTACAATTTTTAATTTCGTGTTTTTGGAAAAGGAATTTTTAATTTTTTCTAAGATTTTTTATAATAAAGTCGCTTAAAAAATTTTTTTAGGCTACTTTTCTTTTCTTTGCTTGAAATAACTTTAAAAAATAACACCGAACCTTTAAATTCGTTAAATATTCCACTTTATTAATTAATAACCGTATTTTTAGAAAAGGGACCACTTTGTCGGAGATCCATTATTTTGTCATTGTTAAAAAATGAGGGGGGGGGGGGAATTCGAAACCTATTGATTTTCAATCTTAAGGGTGTACTAGACTTAAAACAACTATTATCTGAATAACTTCCCAGAAGAACCACAGATATTCATATTACAATCTTTGATTTCGTTTTTCTTGAAATGACGTATTTGATACTCCAAACTTTAAAATTCTGTAACTCATCGAATTTTTCACCAAAAAGGTTGTAAGACCACTCAAAATTTTCCAAATTTTGTCAGGAATTCGCCCATATAGATAAGTCCAATAGTGCCAAAGTGGTCCCTTTTCATGCGGACGTCCACATATATTAAAAATCTAACGGATTTGCTAGAAATTAATTACTCAGGGGTTTTTAGAGTTGCTGATTACGAATTTGAAGTCAGATTTTAAAAAATAAAAATGTCAGATGCAATTAATTGAATAAAAAAAAAAAAAAATCAAACGAATTTGCTTTAAATTTGTTACTCGAATATTTTTCGGCTTCCTATAATTACAAATCTGAAGTTACATAAAAAATAAACCCCCTAGTAACTAGGGGTATTGATTTTTAATTTTTCCGACATATTGGATCCGCGATTTTTAAATTTGACGTGTTAGAGAAAATCTAACGACTGATTCGAATTCAGCATAAATAATTGGGAACGGTGGTCTATTAACAATCTAGTGACTTTAGACCGATCTCTCCCTCCATTTTGTTTTTTCTACTCTTTCTAACCTGTTAATTAAAGAGAGATAAAAAAGAAAATGGAGGGAGAGATCGGTCTCTCACCAGATGGCGTATTGCAGTTTAGCCGTTCCTAATAAGTTAAAAAAAGTTCTTACTTTTTCGGGTCTAAAAGTTGACCCAAATTTGTTCTCCTGTGTTATCAAATAAATATTTTTTGAATCAAAATAATTTTTCTTTAAAACCATTAAATGGTATTAGAACCAACAATTTCAGTACTTTAAAGCAAATACCATTTAATTGACTCAAATAACAATTATTTGACCCAAGTAAATATTTAATTGATAATAATATTCAAGTAATCGGTTATTTAAACCAAATAAATTTTTTCAGTGCTTTAGTAGGACATTAACACTCTCAGAGAAAAAGTTCTATTACAATTCTTTATCCAGAAAACAAGTGAATCCGAATCTTTGATCAAAATTTTGAAAATTCAAAATGGCGGTTTCAAAGTGGTGACCAAAAAAATTTTAGTTTATGGATTTGACTAAAAATGCTCACTTGGGGGTTTTTGGGGTAGCTGAATTCGAATATTTGGTTAAAATTTTATATTTCAAAGTGGCGACCTAAAAAATTTAAAAGTTTATGAATCTGTATGAAAATACTTATACTCGGGGGTTTTTAGAATTGCTGAATCCGAACCTTTGATCAAAATTGATATTAGATCCTCTACTTTAAGTTTTAAAAACTAATTTCAGAAATCCGTTATCGGCGACTCCAAAAAACCCGAGTAAACATTTTCATTCAGATTCCGTTAACTTTAAATTTTTTAGTCAACGTTTTAAAGCCGCCATTTTAAATTTTTATATTTTGATCAAAGATTTCAATTTTCGATTCAAAAAAACCACGAGAAAATAATTTCAACCAAATTCGAAAAGTTGAAAATTTTTTTCGTCTACATTTTTAAACCGCTATTTTGAATTTAAAAATTTTGACCAAATATTCGAAATCAGTAACCTTAAAAACCTTCGGGGGCGGGGTGAGCATTTTCAGTCAAATTAATTAACTTTTAAGTTAAAAAAAAACCCCGAATGAGTATTTTTAGATACCCAATGGGAAATGCCAGTGTAGTGCCGATGTTCACCACTGGCTTAGTACTCAGACGATTGTTCGGCGTAGTCTAGCCGAGCCTCGACAATTACTGCTGGCGCAGTACAGAATTTTTGTTTCGCCAAAGCTTGGACAAGCCACGGCGGCAAGTGCTGGCTGAGTATAGAAAAATTGTTCACAATTGTTCACAACAAAAAATTGTTCACAATGTTGGCTCTTTGCCAACATTGCTTTTTTGACATAAACTTGAAAAAAATTATAAAAAAGGTTTATGAATGTTTATAAATATAAATTTATTGAAAAAAATTAATATTTTACTTTTCAGTTGTTCATTTTTTATTCTTAATAAATTTAATAATAACAATTTAACACAATTGTCTAATTTTGTAAATAATAAATTATTTAAACAAATTAAAATTATAAGAAAATTTAAACTTTATTCTCAATAATAATTTGGTTCCTATTAAAATACTATTATACTTCTTACCATGAATAAAAAATTATTAAAAAATTACTACGTAATTTAGGAATTACGTAAAATGTTAAATGCAATAAGTAAAGTAATTAAATTTAATTATTAAAAATTTAGTTTAATTTATTTTATTTCAATTTATTATTTCTAACGTATCCCTATTTTTTTCTCATCTTTGACTCAATAATTGCATGTCTGAATGATACTGAGATATTAATACTTTACTGTACACATGTGTCGTTAGCATAGTGGTTAGAGCGTTAGTCTGTTAGTCCGTAGGTTGTAGGTTCGATTCCCCTCGTTAGCAATTTTGTTTATTTTCATAGGTTTGCGATATTTCTAGATTCCAATCTTTAGGTACTAAAATATGAAAATCTAATGCACACTTACTGTAATTGTTTATTATTTAATTTTTAAATATTATTAACAATTTTTTTCTACTTCATTTACTATATCCATTGTTAGTCTCCATCTTTAATACAATTTCTTTAAGAAGAGAAATATTTTATGAATAATAACTATTTATTAATATTATTTACCATTTTGTTGTTAAATTATCTATAATTATGAATTTACGACTAATTAATAACAATACGGCATTTATTGCGGCAATATTCTCAGCCAGCACTGGTCCAGTGCTGCGCCAGCGCTGACTGTCAGCACTGGCAGGCAGTACTTCGCCAGCGTTAGACAGCGTTATCATCCCAGAGTTATGCCAGTGCTGTCTGTCAGCGTAGCTGCCAGTACTGCCAGTGCTGGCGCAGTACTCCGCCAGTTGTAAATTTCCCATTGGGTAAATTCGTAAACGTTAAAAATTTTTTTGGTCGTCATTTTGAATTTTTTAATTTTGATCAAAGATTTGGATTCAGCGACCCCAAAAACTTTAGAATAGTCATTGACATTCATATTTCATTTATTACAGTGATTTTTCTTTAAGATGCCGCTATAATATAGTAATATTCTGTATTAGGGTAAGTCCGGAGGAGATGGCCAGTTAAAATATTTTACAGAATTTGTTAATAAATATCACTTATTATGGGTTATTCTTCAACCTTTTGTGACTACTAATAAATGTAAACAACAAATTGTTGAAAAATAATGAAAATGAAAGCGTAATCCTTCTACATTTTTTTGCATGAGTCCAAAATAATTTGAGAATTTCAGATTTCTTATTGCTATATTGTTATCTTTTAACGGATTTTTTAATTTGAAGTCTTATTAAGTAGAGCATAACCCACGCTTCGATATACACAAAAAATGAATGGAAAAATTATTTTATTTATTTAATATTTTGATGTTTACTTTTGTCATATATTATTGGATGAGATGGCCATTACTGACTTTTATTTAAAATTTGTTATGTTAATGTTATATACTTAAGAAATATTTAAAAAAAACAAATTAAAAATGTCTGAGAACAAAATAATTATTGATCTAATTGACACCAGAGATGGAGATATATTTGTAGGTTGAATCGAAAGTTAAAATCAAACGACATTGATTGAAGATTGGATTCAGTGCAGTTTATATCAATAAAAGTTTAGACATACATCGCTTATTTATAATTTTTACAGTACTTTAAAAAACTATGGCCATCTCTCCCGGACTTACCCTAATATTACAGTAACATTACAGTGTCATAAAAGGTTTATATCACGAAATGCAAATTACAATCCCCCCTCCTATGCCAGCAAAATCCCTGATTTTATTGTCGATCCGATAACACTTATCCAAAACCCAATAATCCTCACTGGCAACATATCAGCTGATGATTGTTGATTCATTTTGTGGATCTTGGGACGACAGTTGCATTAAGTAACCTATCGCTAGAATTAAAAAGTCCGGGGAAACCTTGTTTGACGACCATACGACCATACAAACCGCACGACGGAACTCATGGACATGGTTGTTCTAGTCCCAGTGGTCTCAGCGTCTCAGATAGATTTTAAGTAGAAATGAATTACGCATGTGAGCTACGAAAATTCGCGAGGTTTGGCGGGTTTTTCCGAAGTTTTCCACAGGTTTCTGCCGTTCGAGAATACAAGTGAGAGAAGACGCATGCGGTTTGATGTCAACAGACAAGGACCACGCTACCGGCGACTGGCGAGAAGGGCCCGATCGTCACGTTGTCGCAGGCGCGTATTTAGTCAGCATTAAACACAAAATAAGTAGGTTTCAAATTAGATCGAATTTAGCTCACAACGGGAACGTCCATTACTTAGGTGTTTATTTGTATCAATTTAGAGTTTTTAATAGATCGAGTGTGTCTAATTGTGCATTATTTGTTAAGGATTACCACAAGTCAAGGGGTCGTAAGGAATTATATCGAATAGGATTAGCGGCCGTTGATCCAGAGGTTTGGTAAGTGTAATCCTTTTATGCTTTTCTCATGTCAGCGTCTTTTCATATGGCGTCTCAGCAGTCTCCTTGAGTTTTCTTTAATTGTTTGTCATTTTGTAAGATTTGTGAGTACTCGTTAAATTAATTAAGGAGGAGTGACACCATTGACCCTAAAAAGTGATTTTATTTTTTTTTACTTAAACGATACTTTATGATGTGTAGAATAGAAATTATATCTAATCATGAGAAGTGATTTCAAAGTTATTTTATGTGAAAAAAATCGATATCTGCAGAAGGTGACCAAGAGCGCTTCGAGTGCTTTTTAGCGCTATCGGCTATTTTTTCTTTTATCGTAGCAGCTCAAGAATATTGAAAAAAAAATGAAAATGAAGGAAATATTAATGTAGAAGGTCACTTATATGGTGCAGGCATCGTAGATTGACAGTGGTTTAAATTTTTTGTTTTCACATTTGAGCAATTCCACGCGAAGTGATCTCAAGAATTTTCGATGATTTTAGCAATATTACAAATACTTTCTGGATTTGTATCTTTTTATACATGGAATAAAAATGTATAACAGTTTTCTAAAAATTTTCAAAATTTTTTGAGTTACCTCTTACTCAAAATTTTGGTTGGTTTTTCAAAAGAAGCACATAACTTTTTTTTCTTGTTAACCGATCAAGATAATTTTTTTTTAAAAATACTCATAATAAGAAATACTTTTAAAAAAAATGTTTCGGGCAAAAAAAAGTTTCTTTTTTCTTTAAAGGATTTCATTCATAAAATTTCATTCATTCATAAAATTCAAATTTTGAAAAAAATTTATCTTCGATTTAAAAATTTTCTTTTTGTAAAGATTGTCTATCAAGTGTAAAGAATACTTCCTGTAAATTTAATTATGGAACAACAATAACTTTACGAGAAAAAAATAAAATGTCCAGCGCGGCGTGCCGGGACTCGTGCAGTATTCACTTATATGGTGGCACAATTTTATACCAAAACGTTAAACTTTGTTTAAACAATTAATTGTTGCTATTTTTTTAAAAAACTGTACTTTTGATGGCTAGAAATTACTTGTTTCTTCTCAGTAGTGCAATTTTTCATGAGTAATATATTTACTGATAATAAAAAATTATTTATTTAAAAATTGTTTAAACAAGTAAATGTTATTATTTTTGTCATAAACTGTACTTAGGACTAGAAATTTCTATTTTCTTCTGTATTGTGTATTTTTTTGTAACTAAAACAGTCAAGTATATAAGAAAAACTGAAAATTAATTATTTAAATATTGTTTAAACAATTAATTTTGTTAATTTTTCAATCTACTATAGGGGAGAGTGGGTCAAACCGGCCAGGTGTCAATATCTCCGAAATGTCGAAATTGTCAAAAGTGCTATTTAGAAACTTGAAACAACCATGAAGGAGTTTACACCGTAAGCCTTAAATATAAGCCTCCGCGAGCATAAACGGATATGCCTCCATGAGGATATACTTGCGTCTGCGCAAAGTGTTTGCCTGCAGCTGTGTTGTGAAAGAGTTTGCCTTGACCGCGTGTTCGCGCAGGCGCAAATATATGCTCCTGGAGGTATATCCGTTTATGCGCGCGGAGGCTTATATTTAAGGCTTACGGTGTAAACTCCTTCCATGTGTAGTAACCAGGTTGAAGTCCACAACGTTTATCAACGAAAAATTTTTTTCAATAAGTGGTAATTAATAGAAAAAAAAGGAAAAACCAACAATGCTGCCACAAAAATTTATTAAAAAAGTAGAGTTTTATTTATATTTTAATAATAATTGTTGTATATTTAACAAAAATATAATATTCAAATAAATTAAAAAAGCGTTTTCGTTGATCAACGTTGTGGACTTCAACTTCGTGTGTGGTATACCTTATTTTTTCAATTTGACATTTTTTACTTCTGTTTGTGCAACGCTGGGAGCAAAAGTTTTTTTTAGTTCTTTTCTACACTTTCACAAATTTTTTCTTAAGGAAATTCTGAGGAAATCGTGTAATATTTCCAAATATTAGGTCTTAGGTTTTGAAGGTTCACACCTCAGGAATATTTACCACCAAAAACTTTGATGAATTTGCAAAGCGTTTTTTTTAAACAAATATTAATTCTCAAAATGGGCCTGTGGGGCAAAACGGCCATAGATAGGATATTTGCATTGTATCAGAGCTTCAAGAAAATTATTATTAATTAGAATGTTTTTTTCATTAAAATATTTACTTTCAATGAAAAATAAATGTCTTCCAATAAGAATTAGATCCTTTAATATTGTTTCCCTGATAATTTCAAACATTTTTGTTTTGTTATTAAAAAAATTTATTTATTTAATTAAAATTCAATCCTGTATTATTATTTACATTATTACAACCATTATTTACATGATTCTTTATGTTTGTTGTTATTATAGATTAAACAAATGCAATATTATAGATAAAAAACCTAGGTGGCCGGTTTACCCCAGGGGGTGGGGGAAACCGGACACTTTGCAACATTTTTTAAAGTTAACACAGCAACTAAGCAATAAAAAATAAAGTATAGGTAAATTGTTTAAACAGTTTCAAAATTAATAATTTTTTTTATTATCAGTAGATGTTTTACTTATGAAAAATTGCACAATTGAGAAAAAACTAGAAATTTCTAACCCTAAATACAGTTTATGAAAAAATATCAACAATTAATTGTTAAAACAAATATTTAATTAATTAATTTTTAATTTTCTATAATTAGTATAGTATATAGATGTTGCACTCCTGAAAAATTTCACTATTGAGAAAAAACTAAAAATTTTTGCCCTAAGTACAGTTTATGAAAAAATAACAATTAAGGGGTTACGCCACCCTGAACGCATGAAAATCGGATGGTTTTTTAGGAATTTTTTTGATAAAACTGTTTCAGGTAGGACTTCTTTACATTTATTGATGCTTTAGTACATATATTGAGCTTTATAAATATTTTAAAAAAAATTGTTTTTAATTAAAAATGGCGGAGATATAACTATTGGCGTGGATCAATTTTTCCGGAGCACTCCTTGATGGTGTACATGATTGGCAGTTCAATTTTTGTCAGAAACAAGTAAAACAATATTTTTCTTAAAAAGTGATAAATTTTGAACAGAGTGACGAAGCCATTTTAAAAAAAAAAATTTTTTACGCAAATGGAAGCACTTCAAAAATTGACATTTTTTTTTTGGCTAAAATTACCGTATAAAAAATTGGATAAAAAATTTTCAAATTATTCAATCAAAAAAATCCCACGTCACTCTGTGGAAAATCTATTTAGGAAGATGTATATTAATTTTCAAGTCAATCGATTGAATAGTTTTTGAGTTATCGTGTACATCGTCTCGAAAATTGTGGTTTCGAGAAAAACGCAAAAGAAGAAAAAAATGAACTTTAGTGTATTATAACTTGAAAATTTTTCAATTTACTATTTAATCAGCAATTCCTGGGCCATAATTTTTTTTATTTAAGAATGGAAGGGATACAATGAAAAGGACCCTTCCTAAATCATGAAAGGGCCCCCTAGACCATTCGAAAATAGAAAGTCGCTGCTTCCAGCAGCTCTCGGCGCGTCCCCACCGCGCTGACTTCTAATGACCATAACTTTTGTAATTAGTGAGACATTGTCTTCGGCGACATCTCAAAATATTCGTTAGAATATAAACTTTGAAATTAAGCAAAAAAAAAAAATAAATTTTTTTGAAAATTTCAGGGTGGCGTAACCCCTTAATTATTAAAACAATGTTTAATTTATTTATTTTTTATCGATCAAACATTATTTTAATAGGTTTTTTGATTAATTTTCTTAATCAATGAAGCTAAAAAAAGATATGGGACATTCCACTTCAACACGGACAAATGAACTTTGATTTTTTGTTTTAGATGATTCTATTGCGTATCGCCAAAAAAATTCTTAAAAACATGCTTTTTTTCACCGTTTAGATTTTACCCCCCCCCCCTTAAGCGAATTGTATCAAATTTGAACATTTTTTCCGCCATATTGGATCCGCCATTTTGAATTTTTAAAAAGTGATTTTTAGATCTTTTGACTTTTGACAGCTCTATTGGCATCGGAAATGGAATTTTTCATAAAACGCCCATTGGCATCTTAAAGTACACGACTATACAAATCTTTCAAGCTCTAGAACGTTTAAATCCATCAAAGCAATTTTTGTTTGGAGCTCTGTCCGTGTTGACGTGAAATGTCCCATATTTTTCGATTTTATGATTTTTTTTAATACTTATTGTTATTTAAGAAATGTTTAAAAATAAAAATTCAAAAATAGGGCTCAAGAGATCGATAGAGAATTTAATTACGAAGATTTGGAAAAAAAGAAAAAGCGTTTTGATAATAAATTGTGACCTGTAGAGTGATTTGAAACGAAAGTTGCGCCACCATAAGCGAATACTGCACGAGTCCCGGCACGCCGCGTTGGGCATTTTATTTTTTTCTCGTAAAGTTATTGTTGTCCGTTAATTAAGTTTACAGGAAATATTCTTTACTTTATAGAAAATCTTTACAAAAAAAAATTTTTAAATTGAAGATAAATTTTTTTCAAATTTTGAATTCAAAAAATTTTTAAAAATTGTTTTCAGACAAAAAAAGTTTTTTTCCTCTTATTTTTTTCTTTAAAGTATTTCTTAAAATTATGAGTATTTTTTAAAACAATTATCTTAATCGATCAACAAGAAAAAAGTTATTTTTTTAAAACTTAAAAACTTTTCGATTGTAGGAGCGAACTATCGGAACTAGGACAAATATGTCCATGAGTTTCGTCATACGGTTAACAGGGCGGTTCAGTCTACTTCCAAATTTTCACTAGGGTTTTTGAATTACGGTCGTCAATCTCAGCAGATTATGACTTCAGGTAGGGAAATTAAGAGTAAAGTTTCAGTTTAACGAATTAATCTGAAAGTGTAGTGTGATAGGATGCATAGATTAGAAGCATTACGGGATTTTGGGGCAAGAGGGATATGTGTTAAATAACATAAACTTGCAAATGCAGCTCAGAAGTTTTCAGCGAAATTAGTGCTAAATTTGAAAAGCCCTATGAGATAGTTAGACACTTCTCTTGGTCAGTTACGAATTGGGATTTGATGCAACTCATCATGTAGAAAAAGTACATGTGTCAGATCTCAAAAGATATTTGACATCTCGTAATTAAGTCCTTTTAAAGAGTAATTACTAAAATGTGTTTATTTCAGGGCGATCGATGCCAAATACATCTAAGAGGTCAATCGGAGATCCGGAACGGACCAGTCAAAGTCAACAATCTACGGATCATAGAACGATGCCAAAACATTGTGAAGTAAACGCAGCGTGGCGCCGAAGATGGTCAAGTCGCCTCTCATTTGACGGACAATGCCCTCCCAAATTGCCTCCAGTGACGGACAAAGGCGAGCAGAGACAATTGAATCGGATGGTACGGGAGGTAATGTTAAAGCGCCGTATTGATGGACCCAATGTTATCAAGTCACAGGACTTTCAAGTCGATCCTCAGATAGAGAGAATCCAACGGGTCACCGTCATTGACCAAAAGTCCTTGGAAGCGATCCCCAAAATAGGAATCGGAGCTCCGGATAATCAGGAGTATCGTGGAGTAACACCCGCCCTTAGCGATGTCAGTGATGACTCCACACTGACACCACGTGAACTAGGCGAAAGTTTACAGGCTTGGGAAAGCCGTGCTGCCGAGTATGAGTTAGAAAATTTGGTGAATGAGGGTCAGCGTTCGAAAGAAGCCCAGGCAAAGATAAATTCTGCTAATGAAACTCAGAAGGTTGGTACTAGTGGGCCTCAACTGATAGCCCCAAACATGACCATTGTGGACCGTAATAAACACCAGTACGGTGAAACCGGGGCTACACCAACGCGTCCGATCATTAAATCTGGTCGCATGTTTGGTTCCTTGGACCAGATAGCTACGGATCCGGATTTGGATCCACCACATGGGTCCTGCTTTAATTGTTGGGAAAAGAAGCATCATTTGAAAGACTGCCCGGATCAACTTAATACATTTTGCCGAAACTGTGGAAGGAGGAACGTGCTCATAGATAGTTGTCCTAGGTGTGCCCGAGTGTTTCCTAAGTGGTTACGACGTAAAGCGGACTCAAAAAATTCTAAAGGCTCCAAAATTCAAGAGGCTCAGTGGACAAAAGGAACACTTTTAAGTGCTTCACTAGGATCCAATTTAAACCTCTACAAAGGTCAGCAACAAACCAAGGAACAGACGGATTCCTCATCGAAAATTGTTAAGAGTATTTCAACTCAAACGGAAGATTTGGACCCATTGGAAATGTTAAAACGCCTCAAAGAACTTAATGAACATTTAAAGAATGTTCCGGAAGAATTAGCGAGTGCAATCCGCATTCAATTTTTGGAGGGCCTTCGCCACAAGTCGTCCTCCTCTTAAGTGTTTTGGGTTCGATAATGAGTTGGTTTGGTTTACTTTATTTCTAAGATTGGCATTTATTGTACTTATTTTCCTTACCTGTGGTCATGTTGGAAGACCACTATTCATGAATTCGTTTCTTTTATATTTTGTATCTTATTCTATTATTTTATGTTTAATTACTATTGAGACTGAAATACTATCAGTATTATTGGTATAGATAAAAAGAAATCGTTATAGTCATTCCTTTGTTAATTTTTGAGTCGGCATGCATACCGGCTACGAAATAAGGGTCTCTAATTTGGTCAAATTTAGCGGACTTCAGGGACGTGCATTAATTTATTAATTCATTTACTAATTTTATCAGTTTAGAGTTCTTAATAAATCGAATTAGTGTATTTGTCCAATATTTATTTAGAATTACACAACCCAAGGGTATGTAAAGAATTCTATCAAGAAGGATTAGCGACTTTTCAAATCCCGTTGAAAGAAGGAGAACATATTCTGAATTGGCAAGAGTAATTTCTTTAGGAATCTCTCGTCACAGCGTCTTTGCATATGGCGTCGTTGGTCTCAGCGGAGTTTCCCTTGAGTTTTTTTTTAATTCTTTGTCGTTTCGTAAGAATTGTGAGTACTTGTTAAATTATTTAATTTCCATTGACTAGTAATATGCACTATAGGCAGCTGTATTTCTTCAAAGTTGATTGAAGATGCTATGGTTGTTAAACTTTTTTCTGTTATCTGTTAACAGAATATAAGGAGCGTCCCATCTGAACACAACCAATTCCTCAGACACTTTTACTATGTACTTGACATCAGACTGAATTGGTTTAAGCTCTATTCAGCGTGAAAACAAACCCTGGAATACCAAATACTTACACTGATTTTTACTGGAAGGAAATTCCATACAGTCTGCTGCAACCACAACCGATGGGTGTTCCTCTGACATATTAAACCTTGAGGTTCTTCTTGCCATATCTTAAATTGCTGACATTCAGGATACTCACAAACAAACCTCGGGACATCATAATAAATGGTTAGTAAAATACTCCATGGCCACCACACATACCATATCGTCTGAGCTACTGCAAAACCGCGCATCTACATTTGCTTTATGTTTATGTACCTGCAAATGCGAAATCCCAATATTGGCTATTTCTAAAGAAACGCGGTATTGTAGTAGCTTCGACGATATATCACCTCTGTACCAAAATGTCCTACCGCAAATTCGAAATGAACATCCCTCAACACTTTAATTCGGTGCTACTCTGGGAGCACTAACTTCAAACCCTCTTCTTTGCCGGTGATTGTCAACAACGAAGGATCTTTTCGGTGACATTTCATTGGTAACGAGCCAATCGACCTGACGAATCATTAAGATTCCTGAGACACCTTAGTGCACTAATCTATTGTTATGGCCGTGAATCCATTATATCCCTTGATATAAGATCTATATTTCTTAATGGCACTCACGCAATGTAACGCTATAGCATATAGGTCCGTAGGTTATAGGTTCGATTCCCCTCGTGCGCAATTTTGTTAATTTTCATAGACTTGTGTTATTTCTAGAATTTAGTCCTTAATTGTACAAAAATTTGAAAATCTCTTACATAATTATCTGAAAAATAGACTACATTGAATCTTTCGTAATCCTCCTTTTGAAAAATAACATGAGTTTCTATCAAGTGTGACATAATATTGCTGAATAAAATTGCACTAATTTTAATAGTAAAGTTGCTGAACATCAATTTTCCTAAATTTGACGTTTGTCTTGAGCTTGTCAAAAGCTATTCAAACAAATGTAAATGCAAAAAGGTATACTTTATTTTAAGTAAATTTAAATTATTACGGTCATTTATTTCTCTTTGACAGTTTTATTCTTCTTTTCATTTATTCCACGTTTATTCACAGATATTGTATACGAAACTTCTTTACTTATGAAAAATTGAAATATTTCAACAAGAATAGAATGCATTCATGAGCTTTTGCATGTGATCTATTGGATAATATTGAACGTCATGATAAAGTTTTTTTTGAGAAAAAAGTGGATGTCCATGTTAAAAGCTGAAAATTTTCCGTGGTATATGACGATTGGCTTTTAGAATTGTAAAAATAGTAAAGTAAAATCTTCCAATTTATCAAAAATTGGAGGGATGAGTCTAACAGTGTGTATCAAAGCATGCTCGACGGCGCGTGCCTGTATGAGAAATGATCGTTTTTTATACCGAAATACTTTTAAACTTTGGCAAATTTGAATCTGAACCAACATATTTTCTATCTAAATTGAAACTCATCAATTTCATTTTATATCGATTTGTTTTGATATAATGATATCATACATAGAACTTTTCAAACACTTTTTATGACAATAAGGACAAGCAATCGATCAACGCGTACATTTTTCAGATTATTAGCATGGCTTGAATCCTATCCGAGTTGAGATCCTGTCCATTATTATCATTAGCCCATTACACAACATAATCAATATCAATTTATATCTTTTTTAGTAACTCCGGGAATGATGAAAATGGACCTGATAGGTAAAATTTAAAGTCATCAGAATATTTCTGAAATTTATAGTTTTAAGCTGATTCCCTACGTCTAAGACAAATAAATTAAAAAGTAGTGAGGAATTACATCTTCTTTATAAACCAAACCCTTGAGCGTTTGAAACTAATGATTCATTAACTTTATATAAATTATATATCAGATATTATTCCAAGACCCCTTTCGACGACCATTGGCAATTAATTATTCATTCCAGTGTAATAGAAAGCAATCGATTTCAATCACACTAAAATCGGAGTTCATCTAGAGTTTTTCCTTCTATTCCCTATTCGAATCGATATAAGTGTCGTTCAAAATTCATAGATATACTCCAACATTCGGACACGATATGCAGTTTGCTATATTGGAATTAAAGAACGGGGGAATTGAAGGGGTGATAAAAAGAGGCGCCGTGGTTGGTTGACGGTGCTTTTAAAGAGAACTGAGCGAGTCAATTTGTAGGCTGTCGCAAACTTTTAAAACACTAGTTGACAGCCGGTCTGACCACCCTCTCTCTCTCTCTCCGTATAACCAACGAACCAACCCCGAAGTATTCCACCAACCATTCCCTTCGCAAGTGAAAGAGCAAGAAAAAGAGAGAAAAATAAATTGAGGATTGGGGTGGGACACCCTCTGCATCTTGGTAGCCGATGGATTGTAAAATAAAACTAACTTGGCTCTTTCGTGGCTGAGAACTGAGTACCAGCTTAATCTCATTTCGCGAGAGACCCTTTTTTTGTCTTTTAAAGAAGAAACTTTTACTCACGTTATCAAATCCCTTCAAAAATAAAATCTGCTCTGTTCAAAGTGAAATCTTTTAACTGTTTTTTTGTGGATAAAATTTGCTTTTTATATAGCTTTTAACAGAATTATAAATCAAATTCTTTTACGTTCGGGAAATAATAATATAGAAGAAATATAGTATACATATATTAACAAAACCATATCTCAATTTTTTGTACGAATAGAGAAATTGGAATTGTTACAAATAAAAGTGTGAAAAATAGTAATAATCGACATTAAAATTATTAGGGCCAAACAAAAGGAGTAATAACAGTAGAAACTGTTAGTATTATGTAATCAAAACCAATTATAATGTCATGTCAAAAAGGCAAGAAAAAAGACTACTGACAACATACATTGTGACGAAAAATGTAGGCCATATTGATATATTATTAGTTTTATAAGGTGACATGACATTTTGTTTCACATTCACAAAAATAAACTCTGAATTCATTAACCAAAAAGCTGACAGACCAGAAAGAAAGTAACTCAGCTGTGGTTCAAATTATCATCTTACAGAATCAGACATCGTCAAAAAAGAATAAAATTTTAGAAGAGACACAGATGTCTCCAAGGAAAATGTTAAGAATTTATATAGGTATTTGAATATAAGAATTATAATAACGGTCAAGTTTAAGTTGATAGTTATTGCAATAGTTTCTTTATTTCTAAAGGCACATTATTCTATAATACCAAAATTTATTCGTCTGTTAAAAACTGGTAAATGCTATTTTAAAAAATTTTAATTGATTAATCGCTAAAAAAACTGATGAGAAAGAAAAGTAAAAATTAGAAAAAAACTAATTTTATTTAGGTGATTCAATATGGCAGACATACTTTTTAAAAATTCTACAAGTTTGATTGAAATTCATTATACAGGGGTTCTTACTCCGAGTAATGAATTTCAAACGTATCCGTTAAGTTTTGAAACAATAGATCCGTCATTTTGAATTGGGCAAATATGACATCAGATTCGTAATCAGCAATCCTGATACCCCCCCCCCCATTAACAAGTAGGGCAGTTCTGAAGAATTTGCAACTTTCTGATCCTGCGACGTGGTATTCTCCTGGTCGTTGAACTTCTCCTGGCATAAAAAGCAGCGTCGGATCTTCCACTAGCTTATGGTCTGCTTCTACGCACTTGGAGCACGCAGTTGAACTATCTACAGCTTTAGAGTCTCTTTCTATATGGCCAAAGTTTAGGCATTTATGACACCTCTTGACGGTAAGGCCATCCATGTCACGAATCTCCAGTCTAGTCTGTTGGTCAACCATCTGCACCTTACCAATTTTCTGATTACCCTTGTCACCTCCTCGGTGAATGATACCTCTTTCGAAGACTCTCCAATTTTGATAAGGAGGTCTCGCTTCTTAGTGAGTCTCACTCCCATAATTATTGTCTGGCTGGTCTCTAAGTCTGCCTCTTTATAAAGTTTCCCTAGGTCTTTGGAGTACGTCGTACCTTCAGCAACTTTGACTATCATCGTAGATCGTTGTTGTGGCTCTCTTCCCTTATTCGATGAACTTGGCTTTGGTGCCAGTTTGATCATTTTGGAAGTCCCTCCTCTTTCTTCGTCAACTCAGGACTGTTTCTCTTCCGCTTCTGAGCCTCCAAGACAACTTTTTTTAGCTTTAAAACGATCTCATTCCAGCCTCCGGTCTTGGCGTGCTTCTTCCAACCAAGTTAATCCTTGGTAGAATTTTTTTGTTCGCCGCTGCTTGCTTCTCCTTGACATCCTGTATGAGCGATGTTAAGCTTTTGAGTCCATCCTTGATAGTCATATGGACATTTCTTTGGACTTCACAGGACTTCAGCATCTCGCTGACCTCTTC